GAGCCGTTACATCACGTAGGTAAAAGCGAATAAATGAGCAGGGTGTTGACCATGCAGCCGCAGTGCAAATGTCCTGCATTGACATACCATTATGCAGAGCAGTCGAAGATGCGATACCCCTGGTGGAGTGTGCTTAGAGGTTGACAGGAGGCCCTAAATCTGATGCTCTGTAGGCTTCAGAAAAGGCCTCACACAGCCAGTGTGACAAGCGCTGGATGGATAACGGCGACCTGCAGAAGCATCTCTATAATGCACAAACAATTGTTGAGTTTGAAACGCATTGCAGCTGTGCGCGTTATGTAACACGTCAACGCCCGCACCGGGCAGAGAAGATGAAAAGATGCTTCTTCTTCTGATCTGTGGGGGGAGGGAAGAATCCCTCCAACGATATCTGTCTCGATTTAAAAGAGCTCGTGATGCTTTTAGGCATAAAGGCTGGGTTGGTCTGAAATCAGCTGAACTACCGTCAGCCTGGATTCTGAGACATGACGGAGCGGCAGAGAGGGCCGATAAATCACTCACCCTCTTAGCGGATGTTAAAGCCAGCAGCAGGGCTGTTTTAAGAGACAAGAATTTAAGTGAAACTTGATCCAGAGGCTCAAAAGGAGCCTTGATCAGGGCTCGCAGGACCAGCGTTAAATCCCACTGTGGAACGAGTGGGCGTGAAACCGGCCTATGTCTTTGTACACCTTTTAGAAACCGCTTCATCAGCGGGTGATTAAAAGCTGTTCTGTCTCCGAACCCTTCGTGGCAGGAAGAGATGGCTGCAGCGTACGTTTTAATCGTGCTGAATGCCAACTTCCTATCCATCAGCTGTTGAAGAAAGGACAGCACGCCACCTAATGGACATGAAGTGGCCTCCAGACCTTTCTCTGTACACCAGCGCTGAAAAGCCGTCCACTTTGATGTGTACAGGGCTGTGGTAGATGCAGCGCGTGAATCTTGAATTGTGCGCACTACCTCCTGAGGGAGACCCATCCTCTCTAAGCGGGACCGCTCAGCGGCCAGACCCACAGGTGCTGGCCTATTTCCAGGTAACTCCTGATCGCTCCTCCTGCTTGAAGGAGAGCATCTTCCCTCCATGGCAGGTCCACGGGCGACCTGACAACAGACGCTGCAGAACTGGGAACCATGGTGCGTTCACGCGCTCGGGAGCTACCAGGAGAGCTGTCAGTCCCTCCTCCTGAACTCGGTTCAGGAACCGTAAAATCAGAGGAGGAGGGGGGAACGCGTACAGAAGCGTTTTGGGCCACGGGCTGTGGGCAAATGCATCCACCCCCAGCGGTGGATCGTCTCGTGGGCTCAGGGAAAACCATAATTGGCACTGAGCGTTCTCTCGCGTCGCAAACAGGTCCACAGCTGCTTTGCCAAACTTCTGCCACGTCTGAAAAATCAGGTCTGGATGGAGAGTCCAGTCCGCGTGACGTGGGCCGCCCCTGGACATCACGTCTGCTCCTCTGTTCAGAAACGCCGGGTATGTAAACCGCTCTGATGGAAAGCAGGTTTTGGTGAGCCCAACACAGTAGCTTCCGCACAATGTGTAACATCTGGGCTGAACGCACACCCCCCTGGCGGTTTATGTACGCAGCAGTCACCATGTTGTCTGTGTGAATCAACACGTGCTGATTCTGTAGCACGGGAGCAAAATGTTGAATCACATTCAGCACTGTGCGACACTCCAAAACATTGATGTGGGCTGATGTGCGGTGGGGCCACAGCGCCCCTACTGCTTGAGATAGGCATGTCCCCCCCCAACCTGACAGAGACGCGTCCGTGAAGACTGACACGTGTGACGTGGGTCTGCTGACGGGGACTCCCTCTGACAGAGCCAGGGTGTTTCCCCAGTGTCGGAGGTCTGCACTCACGGAGGGAGGGACAGTGATCATCCGTCTTTTTGTTTTACTGGATCCACACGCAGACACGTAAACCACCTCTGGAGGCGTCTCATGTGTAACAAACCCAGCGGGACCACTGTGTGAGCTGATGACATCATTCCCAACAGCTTCATGACGGAGACAGCTGTTACCACTTTGCCAGGTCTTACGTGGCGTAGTTGGTTTTTTAGAGTGTCGATTCTTGTTTGTGATAAGCGAGCCGTCATGGTAATTGAGTTTAATTCCACTCCCAGATAAACAATTGTCTGGGCCGGGAAAATCGAGCTTTTCTTCCAGTTTATGGCGAAGCCCAGATTTAGCAGGTGTGATGCCAACACC